ATGATGATGATGATGATGATGATGATGATGATGATGATGATGATGATGATGATGATGATGATGATGATGATGATGATGATGATGATGATGTAAATATCACAGAGAAACTTGACACAAAGTTTTTTAAAAATCTGCAAGAATGTGTCTCTCAAAATCAAACATGCGGAGAATGCCCGGCGTGCACTAAGCGTCGGTGTTCAGTATGATACATTTTAACACTTCTCAAAGCTTCTTGAAGTTATGTATAGACGTAAACTTGAACTTCCAAAGATAACATCCTTCTGCTTCAGTATGAAATACTTTTAACACTTCCCGAAGCTTCGTAAAGTTATCTACCGACGTGAACCTCTGAAGTTTACGTCTTTCTCCCGACATGATCAAACTACGCTATCTGGGCGGAGAGCCATGCAAACTTTCCCTAAACTGAAGTGAAAAATCGAACTAATATCATCCGGTTCGTAGTCCATCATGATACAAGGTAAGCTATCGCCTGGCTCCAGAGCATTCTTTGAAGAAACAAAGAAGTGCATCCGATTTTTAAAAAATAATGGGATCTAATTCTTTTAAGTGTGAGTAAATTTTGAGCCCGCCTTAGCAGGTTAAAAGTGTCTTTCGCGAGTTACGTTATGGGACCCAAATGTGACCTCAAGGATTGTGGAGACCCAGGGTGTGCACACTAACTCAAATATGGTGTGAGCACACGGTTAAAGTTTACCTTTACCGAAGATTGTATTTTAGGAGATCCCTACACAGGATTGGCGGACAGTTATCTTACACCCCTACCAAAGTCCTACAGGATTATCACAATGCAAAACGCGGTGGGGAAACTAATGGAAAAAATGGTGTCCAGATGGATGTCCAATTTCTTGAAGCGCAACAATCTGATACCTGTGGAACTTGGCAGCTACCGCCCTGGTAAGGACACCTGGAGGGATGCGGCAATTTTGGCCTCCGACCTAATATACGATGGTTTTGAGGAGAGAAAAGAGACACTAGTCGCCTCAATAGATCTAGAAGATGCTTATAACCGGGTGTCCTTTAGCTTGATCATCCGAACTATGATTAATATGAAAATCGACTCTGAATTGGTGATCTGGGTAGGAAATGGCTTGTTAAAAAGAAAGGTTTCCTTGCACCTTGGCAGCTGGGCTTCTGAACCTATTACCATAACCCCAGGACTGCCCCAGGGATCGGCCCTGTCACCAGTCTTGTTCAATATATACACCATCGGTCTTACAGCCAATCAATTGGAGGGACCTGGCCGTACGCTAAGCTTTGCAGGTGATGTATTGGTATATAGGTAGGGGAGAGATCGGGAGCTGATTGCAAGGAGCATGCAGGAGGAATTAGATCGAATTGGTGAATGGTGCGAACAGAACAATGGAAAACTTAATCCAGCGAAGGCAGGGGTACTGTGGACCAGTCTCAACAACAGGGCAGTCAAGGCTATCATGCCTACTGTTAATGTACAAGGTACGCAGTTGGAAAGGCAAGAGAAATTGAAGTACCTGGGCATTACCTTTGACCGCACCCTCTCGGCAAAAGACCATGTGTCGAACATTATCACCAGAGCAAGGAAAGGACGTGTTGCACTGAGAGTGATGGCTGCATCTATGCCCCAACACGCCCTTATGATCATGCTTCAAGCGGTTGTACTGTCTGTAGTGGACTATGGCCTTGGTATGCTCACCCTATCCAAAACCCAACTACATCGCCTCGAAGTCATTCAAAATGAAGGAATGAGAACCGTTCTTGGATGCACCCGTGATACAGCAGCATCAGCGATGAGACATCTGCTGGACATGCCAACGTTAACCCACCGACACAAGCTAGCATAAGTCAAGGTCCACCTTCGAGTAACGGCAGACGAACGTCACCCTCTATATCCGAAAATAGGAAACCAAGTACGCCAAAGATTGAAAAGAAGAACTTCATGGATGGTGCAGGCGGAGCGAACTCTCGATATGTGCTGTAAAATCGAGGACATAAGAAGAGGATGTGACTGGATGAGGCTGGAGAAAGACATGAACAACTTCATGAAAGTGATAGCTACGCTAGGTCGAGAGTGTCGCGAATGGCCAGCAAGTGCAACTAATGCGGAAATTGTGGCCATTCTTGAGGAAAATTCAGTGATGGGTGATGTTGTCGTCTTCACCGACGGATCAGTGAGGCGTGACCAGAAATCTGGGTGGGCATTCAGTGCTCGAGTTGACGGGAAGATAATTAAAGAACAGTCTGGAGCCTACGAGTGCACTACGTCGAGCATGGCAATGGAGGTCAAGGCAACAACAGAGGCGCTGGAATGGATCAGCATGGAAGCGTATAAACATGCCCTGTTTGTCACATATTCGATGAGCACCCTAGAAAAAATCAGGAGTGGGTGGCTCTACAGTGACTGGAGAGCTTCCATTGCAAATAGCCACCTCCTAAGAATTACATGGGTGTTCTGCCCTGGTCACGCCGGGGTGCACGGAAATGAGCGTGCTGATGAACTTGCCGGCAAAGCAGCACCCAATGGCCGAATCATGCTCGACCCACCAATGGTGATCGCCAGATACAAGGAGAGCCTTCACAACCAAGAGGAGACAGACTCCCACACATTCAGCACAATAAAAGAAAAATGTGTGCGGGCACAGCGAAAAAAAGTTTTCTCCGAGGAGTGGTCAGGCGTGTCTCAAACCAGCTCCTCATGGAGACAATTAGCAGGAAGACCCTGAGGTGGACGCTGGAAAGGAGGGATGAGCAGCTATGGACATGTGCCGCCTGCTATGATTCTAGCTCTGGATCCAAGTAAATCCAAGTAAATCCTACAACGGTATAACGATCATTTCAGAAGGGACATGTGATCTCAACAAAGATCAATTATGGAACCCAGTATTAGGCGGTTCTCAGAGCCCACAACTACACCTCCTCAAAAACCACTCGACTCGCAGCTGGTAGAAAAATTGTATTTCCCAGCGACACCCACCAGTACCGGCGGATTGTTAAAGTAAAGAAAAGTTAGTAATTAGATAGTGGAAGATCGTGGCCACTGGAAAACTGAAGCGAATACCATTCTCAAGTTCCAATTGGGACAGATGTAGTTGTGAAGATCTCATACTGCTCGCCAGAAGATACAAGGTCATGTTACATTGTGTGGACCATAGATCCTCTCCTTGTACGAGTTATAATCGACATTTCTTGACACACTTTAGTTTAGCTGCCAAGAGCCTTTATCAAATGAGTTAAAAATGAAAGCAGATACAAAATAGTCAGTTGCCTACTAGACAAAAGGATGCCCACTTGTACAGTTTTAATAGATAGATAGATAGATAGATAGATAGATAGATAGATAGATAGATAGATAGATAGATGATGTGTTGTATTCCCCTGCTATCACAACACACTAGTAGATAATATATATTATTAT